CCAGCAGCAGCAGCAGACGGCCGGGGCGGCCCTGGGTGCCACCGAGGCCCCGCCCCAGGGCCACCTGCAGAGGTACTCCACGCAGATCCACAGCTTCCGAGAGGGCACCTAGCGCCCGGCCCGGGACGGGGGTGGCAGGGGCGGCCTGGCCCGCTCATCCCGGCCCCGGCCCCTCCGTGCTACGAGCCCCAGGCGGGGGTGGTGACGCCCCTTGAGGACGTGGCCTCAAGGACTCCACTCTCCCTGAATGCCCAGCCGCTTCCCTGGAGCCGTTTTTCCTGGCCTCCCCCTGGAGACAAGCGAGTGGTCTGGGTGAGGCCATGGCCCTGGGCACCATGAGGCCCAAACCTCTGCATGGGGCCAGGTCCAGTCTTTCCACTGAACTAGGGGAATCAGCAGGAGTTGCAAGGCCTTGGCTTTGTAACCAGATTCTTCCCTCTCAACCCCCTCCTGGCAAGGGGAGATTCCAGGAAAAGGTTACTTATGAATTTCCCAGCCACTCCTGAGGCCAAGCCCTGGGAAGGGACCCTCCTTCAACCTTCGTCATAGGGCTAGATGGGGCCCACGTGGGGTAAACTGAGGCTCAGAACTAACCAGGCAAAGCCCAAGGCCGCTCAGGGAGTGTGGCCGAGCCAAGATGGCTGGAGCTGCCAGAAGCTCTAATCAGATGATCTCAAATTCATTCTAGAGGGACTTTGAGGGGAGGAGCTGGAATCTTCCTCCTTCCTCCCAAGTGGGTGCTTCTGGGGGCGGCAGCCCCCAAGCTGTGCCTGGCCAAGGAGGGTCAGGGCCCTCCTGCTGAGGGTGCCAGGAAGCTGGAGCAGGAGGCAGGGCTGGGTGCATCTGGAAGAGTCGTTTCAAAGCCCTGGGTCGCCCCCCAGAATGGCCCTGGGGCCTCCCGCCCAATCCTGGCCATAGGAGGGAGGAGCTTTGTCTGGAGCCCCTCACAGGCTCCCACCCTGACTTTTCCTCACTGTCATGTGTGTCCCTGATGCAGGGTCGTCGTAGGCTTGGTAGAGGGCAGCTTGTAGGACATGAGGATGCTCTTGGACCTTGGTTTGAGCTGGAGCCCGTTGGGCCTTTCTATGGGGCGAAGCCTGGGGTGGCAGGTTGGGCCGCTCCCTGATAGCCGGGCCCAGTGTCTTGGCACGTCCCCACTGCCTCAGGCCAGCTTCCTTCTGTCAGTCGTTCCTGCCCCACCTGCTCTACCAGACTTGGCCACTGTGCTCTCCCCTCCCTTGTCCCTCTACCCAGAGCTGTCTCAGAGGCCCTTGGGGGCCAGGCCCCTCTGGACGTGCCAGGAGTGAGAGCCACACCAAGATGGGAACATGGCTGCCACAGCATGGCCAAGGGCTCTTGCTGGCCCGTCCCCACCAGGCGACCTCGCCCTTCCCAAGCTTGGGGGTCCCGCCACCAGACGTTGACGGTCCCTACGGGCGGGGCGTCAGCCCTGACCACACAAGGGCAGCAGGTGGTGCCCCCAGGAACAGGCATTATTGCTTTGATCCTGACTCTCCTGGTCAGACCCGCTGGAGGGCGGCCTGGGCACGTGGGTCTCATCTCAGTGACACTTGCTCACGTGCCCTTCCTGGAATCCTCTGGAGGCCTGGTCAGGTCCCAGCCCCCCACCCTTCATCACAGCTCAGGTGGGGACCCTGGGCCTCTGGGTCTGCCCTCGGGAGGGGCCGCTCTGGAAGGTCAGTTGGGGATGGCCACCAATGCGAGCCCCGGTTGGGCCCACCTCCAAGCTCGGGACGTAGAGCGCCCAGGCCACCCTGCGGTGGGGCTTCAGCCCCGGCAGGGATACAAGGTGGTAGCGACCGCCACCAGTCAGGGTCGACCACGTGCTACAGATCTGGCAGCTCTTGTTTCCGGCTGGGCCTCGGCCAGGACAGGGCTCAGTCCACCCCTGAACTTGCTGGATGAACCTGAAAGCCCAGGGTGGGTGCCCAGAGGACTCTCTGTTGAGGCACACACGTCTGGTGACTGGCCACAACTCGGAGGGTGGCACGAGGGCCTGGGGTCACTGCTTTGCAGGACAACGGCCTCTCGGCGCTTTCTCTCTGCCCCAACCTGGCAGCTGTGCCCCTCTGGCTTCCCAGAGGGTGACCTGGTCCCAGCCACCCAGTGGGTCTTCACCCGTGGACAGAGGGATCTGCATGCCCTGCAGCCACATCACAAAGGATCCTGAGGTCCCAGCCCTGCTTCTGGGTGTCCAGTGTCAGGGGGAGGAGAGGGGACAGGTCTGCTCCCTCAGCCCCATCCTAGACCCCAAGGCCGGGCTGGATCCTCCGTCCTGCAGGGAGCCCCTGCCTGGCCATTGGGGCTCAGTTTCCTAAAAAGTCTGCACAAGCGGGACAGGGGCCCACACGCTGCTGGGCCTTGGCTGCCTGGACTCATCCCCGAGCCGTCGACCCCTCCACCCTGGCCGACAGGCACCCTGAATGAGCTCCGAGGTGACACCACCATCAATGCAAGCAGAGAAACCAGAATTGTGACTTTGTCTGGGAAAACCCAACTGGAACTAAGTGGCCCATGCCCCTGCTGTAATGGTGGTGAAGTGTTTCCTAAATGACCCAAACTGACGTTTATTTTTTCTAATGGCCCCTTCAAAGTACTAATAAGATTGATGCTGTGTCATAGAGTGAAAATAAAAGACGTCATGGCAGTTGCTGCTTTTGCCCTGTGACAGGCGCGTGGGACTGTGCATGTCAGTCGCAATGTCTCAATAAAGACACCACACACAACACGCTGGCGTACGTCTTTACTGAATAGAGCATCCGAGGAAGTGATGCTGGGCAGGTAAACAATGCTCAACAGCGAGAGGACACGTCACCCTGGAGAAGGGCAAAGTGACCCCCTCGCGGGGCTTCGCCGAGAGCCACCTGCAGACAGCAAATCACAGCAGAGTGCACAGGTCGCTGTTGTGGGGAACCAAACCCTAATGCCCAGAGAAAACCTGACATTGAATTGCAAACATTGCGCGTGGCCGCCGCCACCAGGGCCCTCCCGTGACTGGCCTGTGAGCTCCACACTCACACCCGGCGTCGCCCACAGAAACGCTGAGAGCCCTAGGTCTCTTGAATGCCTGCTGGAGGGCCCAGAGGACATTCCCTAGTGTCAGCTCTGGGTAGCAAATGCTGACAGCAAAGCTGTCCATGCATAACTGAGGACAAAACACAGGATTCCCAGGAAGGCCAGTTGGTAACGAGTCTGTTCCTTCCATCTCAAGCTGTGCAAACGACCTCCTGGGCAAAGGAAGGGGAAGGGCTGATGGGAATGATGGCGGTGGTGACTCTGCACATGGATGTGGTCTCCAGCCATGGGCAGCCCCTCCTCCCCTCTCGGCCTTCCTGTTGGGGCCCTGGCCCACCAGTAGGAGGATAGCCCTGCACGTCAGTGTTTATTTCCAATCTGCCAACTCCCTCCTTAGCTTTTTTTTTTCTGAGTTGGAGTCTCACTCCATTGCCCAGGCTGAAGTGCAGCGGCATGCTCACGGCCACCCCAGCATCAACCCGCTGGGCTCTGACGATCCTTCCATCTCAGCCTTCCAAGTGGCCAGAACTACAGGCGCGCACTACCACACCCAGCTAATTTTTGATGTATTTGTAGAGACGAGGTCTCGCCAAGTTGCCCGGGCTGGTCTCGAACCCGTGGGCTCAGGCCATCCACTCGCCTCAGCTTCCAAAGTGCTGGGACTACAGTCTGAGCCACAGAGCCCGGCCCCTCCTTAGCTTTTGAAATGAAACACTCTTGGCAAGTCCTGCTCTGAGAAAGTGGTCACAGCACGTGGCAAAGCGGCCCTGGCCCACAGTCACTTCTCTGGGACAGGGTGGCCAGGAGCGGTGAGCCCAGATGCTGTCTGAGGTGCCGGCTCTAGGGGACTCGTTACTGAGCTGTGTTCCAGAAGGGCTCCAGGCTGTAGGTTCCAGGTCCCAGGCTCCAGGTGTCTGGCCCAGAAAGGTGGGAGGCAGACGGGAAGGAAGGGGCAGAAGGGGCTAAGGCCGCTGGGGGTGCAGCCCCCACTCCACCCCCCACAGTGCTTCTCACAGATGGGGACATGTGTGGGAACGTTCGTTTCACATCTCTAGGCCTTTTGGGCAGTGCCTCTGAAGTGGCCACGGCCTTGGACCAGGTTCCCTCTTGAGTCCACCTGGTGACACTTGTTCCACGACACACTTAAGCCCAAGAATGGCTCGACCTTGACCCTCCACATCCAGCACCGTCCCAGCGTCCAGGTGGGCAGGAATGGCTTCAGCAGTGGACAGGCCTGTGGGCTTCGGGTGGGGCCCTGGGCTCCTGTTCCCGGGACGTGCCCCGGGGGGCCCTGGAGGCATTGGCCCGGACTGAGATGTGGTCCCAGCCTCCCTGGAGGACAGAACTGTGTCACCGGAGGTGCCAGGGCTCTAGGACCCCGAGGGGGCCGGGTCCCAGGGACTGCCAGGCCTCTGTGACGCTGTGGCGCCCCGCCTGTGGGGCCCGTACATACACAGTGTGACAGCGCAGCCCCACTTACCCCGATGCCATAGTCCCAGCCCTGGCCCTTGGGCTCATGTGGCTGCACGCCCGTGCGGTGACACACTGTCCCCCGACTCAGGCCGTGGCTCCCTTGCACCTTGTCCGCGATCACCCAGATCTGGAATGAAGACCTGCTGAAACCCCAGTGGTGGGGCTTCTGGGGGTGGGAGGGGGGAAACCAGACAGGGAACCGGGGCACTCCAAGGACCCGCGACCCTCTGACGCCCTGACCTGGTCCAGGGGCCCCACGGAGACCCGGCACACGTTGTTGGACACATGCTCCCAGCTGGAGCCTTGTGGGTAGCTGGGTGTGATCCCCTGGCGATACCACAGGTTCCCTGGGGACAGAAGCAGGGGGGTCAAAAGCAGAGCCCTCTAGGCCCCTCCTGCCCGGCCGGAGGAGACCAGGCCCCACCTGGGACCACCTCAGTCTGGGAAGCCAGGGGGGGTCTGACCTCCACTGCTCCACACTCCCGACCCACACGAGGGCCTGGGCTGCAGCCAGCTCTGCCCGCTGCAGGCCTGGGTTTGCCTCATAATCGTCCCATTGTGCCGGGCAGGGCTGGCATCTCATGCCTCTCGCTACTCAGGTAGAAACTGAGGACAAAGCATTTTTAAACAAATAAAAAGAGAACCGGATCTGGAATAAACACCCTGGGCTGAGTCTTGATTCTCCCTTTCTTTGCCTTTTCCTCTTCTGTAACAGCTACAGAATGTTGAAGGGAACTGGCGACAGCCCTGCCTGGGGAGAGCCAGCCTGAGCTGTCCTGGGGCTCCTGTGTCACATGTAGGCCTGGGTGGAACCTTCGAGAAGACAGGCCTAGTACAAGCCCCGCTGCAACATCACCCAGCCTTGATGCTGTGTCCTCGGTAGGCCTGAGTGTCCTCTGCCCTCTGTCCTGGTGAGGGATTGGCTGTCTGGGACTGGGGTCCCTAGACCCTGCGTTAACTCGCCTCTCACAGTGGCTGGGGGGGGCTTGAGTCAGGGCCCTGCGGCCTGGGCTGTAGCTCAGTGTCCTGTAGTTGCCAAGACAGGGGCGGGTCATACCGCACGTGGAGCCCGGTACCTGGCTGTGACACCTGGCGCCCCACGTCCCCGAGAAAAGTGTGGCCCAGAAGGCCTGGGCACTCCTGAGAGTCTGTGCCTCTCCTCCAGGTCTCGTCCCACCAGGCGCTCACACATCCCTGACCAAGGAGAGTGTCAACAAGACTTGCCATTCTCATCCAAGGCGTACACCGATGTCTGACCCACCGACACCTGCTTCAGTCTCTGTCTGGGAGGAGATGGGATGTGGTACCAGCAGTCACCTGCAAAGGGGGAACTGACTGAGGCTACAGCAGGAGACATCACACCCGTGAGCAAAACCTTGACAGCGCAACCTCAACCTCCGCCCCTTCTCCTGGACAGACCTGGATGCATGGCGGGGCCTGGTGTCAGCTCAGCCCTCCAGCCTTGCCTGGGCCTTCGGCGGCTGTGGCGGGTTCAGATGAACCCACCTCAAAAGCAGGGACACAGAGGTGCCCAGTCTGACACGCGGCGGAGTGCCAGCCCAGAGCCAACCCAGCCCCAAGGGGAAAGCAGCTGCATGCCAGCCTCCCCAATACTGGGCACCACCTGAACACAGAGCAAAGAATAAGCCAGCAGGGCCCTCCCTTTCAGAGACCCACCAGAGTGGTGACCGGGGAGTGGCCCCACAGGGCAGAGGCACGGGGGCCCCCAAGAAGAGCTGAGTGGGCTGGCTGAGGGCTGCCCCACATCAGAGGTGACTGCTCCAGTCAGTCCCAGTGGGAGGGGATGCAGCTTCTGGGGATCCTGGCTCGGCCCTGTGCGTGGCCCAGAAGGACATTCAGCACATACTTGTCGAGCTGAACTAAAAAGGAGACCAGCCGACTAGCTGCTCGTGACACAGAAACACAGGGAGCTGCCGTGGCTTGGGGCCGTGTGGGGACCTTCTGGAGGGCAACACTTACCGGCTGGCTGAGAGGGGGACACAGAGCCCCGATAGAAGGCAGAGCCATCTCGGGCCACGGCCCACACCTGGTAGCAGGCACCGATGGAGACGGAGGTGAAGGGCTGGTCAGTGCCCACGTGCAGCCAGGAGGAGCCCTGGGGATAGGTAGGAGGGGCACTAAAGCAGCTGCCAGGGGCCCTAGACCTGCCCACCCCCCGGGCCCAGGTGAAATGAGCCCAGCAGGTGGGACACACATGGCAGGCTGGGGTGGCTGGGGTCACACAGACCCGCTCGGCCTGCCTCAGCCCTGACCATGCCTGATCGGAACCCCTGGGCTCCTCCTGAGACACAGTGGAAGCGTCTCACCAGGGCACCGACACACGAGGGCTCTGGCGCCAAAGAGCCACCGTATCCCTGGGTCTGCCTGTGTCCCCTCTGCCCAGGCCCCAAGAGGTGGCGGCTCCTCACGCCAGCTTCATCCTTGGCACCACAGGGCCTAGTGACCCACTCAGGCACGTGCAGAGTCCTGGCAGGCCTGGGGAGTCTGAGCCCAGCCGGGCACTGGAGCAAGAGTCCTGGCTTTGTGGGGAATCTGCTGGGCCCAGAGGCTCACCGCGGGGCTGAGCTCCGACACACCCAGGCGGCACAGCACGTCCCCCTTGTCGCTGACGGCCCAGAGTGCGATGCTGGGCCTCCTCCCGTGGGCGCCTGGGCTCTCGGGGATGATGGACACGTCCCTGAGGGCGATGGGGGCCACCTCCAGCCAGGGCCCGCTGGTCACCAGCTTGCATTTTCTGTACGGTGGAAAGGGAACAGCCCAGGGACACCTGGGTGACTGCCAGCCCGGGGCCTTCCCCCAGAGCCGAGAGGATAGGGGAGTCCCCTGCCTGGGCTCGAGAGAGGCTGGAGGCAGGGCCCCTGAGAGAGCCCCCAGGGGGTGGGAGTGAGGGGTCCACAGGTGACTCCCTCGCCAGGCCCATACCCTGTCCTGCCCACACGCAGAGCCTGCCAGTGACATTTCTCTTATTTGTTCTTGAAAACAAACTTCTGAAACCAGAGCGTTAGGAGCCTGAGGGCATTTCCTGGGCTGACATTTACTTTGATTCTGCGTTCCCCTCCCCCTCCCTGCTGCTTCCTCCCTTGGGGCTGAGGTCAGAGGCCAGGAGAGCTGACCCAAGAGGAACCAGAGCTCCCCTCAGTGCCCGTCACCCTGCAGTTCCCCTCACCTGGCCCAGCACCTTCTCCGGACAAAATCCTTCATGGTTTTGTATCCATGGTATGAGCTGCAAGAGGAAGATTAAACCCAGGCACTTCGTGGAAGTTTCAGAAAAGGGATCCCGCACACGCCCACTCTTTCTCCACCTACCACAGGCCTCAGTGTAGGCCACGGAACAGGTTCAAAGAACACAGATCTCAAGAGGTGCCTCCTGGCTCCGAGGGTCTCCCCAGGGTTGGGGTCTCACTGGGGTTGGGACCTCCTTGGGCCCAGGGCAGGACAGTTGCTCACCCAGGGGGTCAGGCCAAGGGGACTCTGAGCCTCCCTTCCCCAGGCCCCATCAGAGTCCTTTTGGGGAAGATCTTCCGTGGAGCTCAGGGCCTGAGACCCGGGGAAGGCTGCCTGGGAGGCTGGGCTGCGGCCAAGGGATGGCCCTAGTCTGCTCAGAAGCCTTCCGGCCTGGCCCCAGCTCAGGCCCTTCTGGCTTTTTCTGGCTGGGCGTGACCCGTGTACCATGAAGGGACTGTCCACGCACCTGTGTTCCAGGTCCCAGGGCCTCCCAGGAGGGTGCCCACCTCACTCCAAGGGGCTCATGCTGCCCCTTCACCTACACCCTGCCCGGGCTGGGTCAAAATCTTCCCAGTCGGGGCCTGGCCCAAAGCCCCCCAAAGCCAATGTGCCCTCCTGCAGGCCTTCAGCCCAGTGCTCCAGGTCCCATGTCAGGCCCTCCCAGAATCTGGGCTTGGCATGACAGGGACAGACCAAGTATGAGAGCCACCGAGCTCCCACCTGCACCACCGACCAGGGCCACGTGCGCCAGGTAAACCAGATGTGTGGGTATAGCTCCCCTCCCCCTCCCATGCCCTCGGATGGCTCCCTCTGCTGAGGTGGCAGCAGGGCTCTGCTCCTTAGGGGTCAGTTCTTCAGCTAGGCCCAGGACTGTGGGGCCAGAGCTACCCAGGGCTGGGAGCAGCACTCAGTCTACTGATGGTGAGGCTGCCACTGCCAGGGCCGAGAGGGCAGAGGACCAGGCCTGGGGACCACATGCCCTGGGGCCCTGCTGCTTTGGGATCTAGCCCACAAGGCCCTATGCGGGGAGAGGCTTACGCAGGGAAGTCGCTGGCGTACTGCCACCCCTCCTGGTCAGTGCCCCCAGGAATGCTGAAATCCACGAACCAGTCGGAAACCTGGGAGGAGTGAATCCGTGAGGACCGGACCCCCAAAACCCACATAGCAGTCAGAAAGCTCAGGAAGGGGTGGGAGGGGAGGGTCAGTGTGGGCGGACCGCTACATCCCCCAGGGCTCACCCAGGTCCACTGCAGGGATGGGGGCTTCATGCCGGCCTTGGTGCACTCCTGCAGCCCCGTGGCGTCACTCCACATATACCGGTCCGTGGGCAGCCCCCTGTGGCAGGATGACAGGGGTGATGACCCGCTCAGCACACCCCAGCACACCTGAGCTCCAGCCCCAGAGCAAGCTGCCTTCAGACGCGCTCACTCCCGACGGTGACACGCAAAACCAGAACTGCCCTGGGTGAGACCCACTGGGGGACCTCACATATCCAAGTACCAATCAGCCCATCCACTGAGGCTACCGTGCTCCACGCAGTCTGGGGGCCACCTCTCTTTGCCTCGAGTTATGGGCTGATGTCAGAGTCCTCACCCCTAGTACCCGTGAATGTGACCTGATTTGGAAATAGAGTCTGTGCAGATGATCAAGCTCAGATGACACCATTAGGGTGGGCCCTAATCAATATGACTGGTATTCTTACGAAAAGGGAAAACGTGGAAGCAGAAATGCTCAGAGGCAAGAGGATGTGAGTACATGGAGCAGATGGCTGTCTACACACCTGGGACAGAGGCCTGGAGCCCGGAGAAGGAGTCAGTCCTGCCGACACCTTGGTCTTGGGCTTCTGGCCTCCAGACCTGGGGACAGCACGTTCCTATTGTTCGTGCCATGCACCTGCAGTACTTTGTTACAGTCACAGTACACTAGTGTGAGTGCAAGCAACACACAGGCCAGTTTCGGGTGGGCGACTGTGAGGATGAGGTGCGGGAGGCCAAAGTGGAGCACACACTGGTGAGGACTAGCTATGGCCCTCGGTCTGCCCTCTCTCACATGGACCCGGGGGAGCAGCACTGCCCTGTCCCTCATGAGGACTAAAGAAGATGTGAGGGGAAAGCAGAGATTCAAGCTACATTGGACAGTCAAGCTGCAGGTTGTCAAGAGATATTGTGGCAATGCCTATCAACTGCCTTAGAAAAGCTCAAATCTGGCCGGGTGTAGTGGCTCACGCCTATAATCCCAGCACTTTGGGAGGCCGAGATGAGAGGATTGCCTGAGCCCACAGGTTCAAGACCAGCCTGGGTAACTTGGTGAGACATCATCTCTACAATAAATAAAAAAAAAATTAGCTGGGCGTGGTAGTGCAGGCCTGTAATTCCGGTTACTCGGAAGGCTGAGGCAGAAGGATCGCCGGAGCCCAGCAGGTCGAGGCTGCGGTGGCCAGGAGCGGCCACTGCACACCAGTCTGGGCGACAGAGTGAGACTCCAACTCAAAAAAAGAAAAAGAAAAAGAACAAGAAAAGCTCAAATCCTCTGACTTATTGGGATAATCAGAGGAACACACAAATATTTACACACAAGGAAATCCTTTAAATGGTTCTGTACGACAGTGAAAGGTCACAATCTACATGTCCAAGAATGAGCAGAAGTCAGATAATCCGGCCCCACCCCTGGGTGTGGAATGGGGAGCCCATTGAGCCACCTTCAGTGCCAGCCCTGTGTCTCCCACACAGACAACACGTGCACATAGAGGGCCATCTCAAGGTGACCCTCACATGCTAAAGTGGCTGCTACCTCTGGCTGTGAGGTTAGCGTTGCCATGTATTTGTTCTTCGTATCTTTTGGCATTTACTTCAACAATTTTGAAAAAGTAGAAAAGGAAATTAATTATGTATTTTTTCTTTTTTGGGAGCAATCAGGTTTCACTATGTTGCCTAGGCTGGTCTTGAACTTCCTGGCCTTAATTGATTCTCCTTCCTTGGCTTCTCAAAGCGCTAGTATTACAGGCATGAGCCACTTCACCTGGCCACAAGTACATCTTTTTACGTAGACTCAAACAGTTAAAAAATAAGGTTTAGGCCAGGTGCAGTGGCTCAGCCTGTAATCCCAGCAGTTTGGGAGGCTAAGGCGAGAGGACTGCCTGATCCCTGGGGTTTGAGACCAGCTGGGACAACTTGGTGAGACCTTGTCTCTACAATAAATCACAAAAACTAGCTTTGTGTGGTGGTGTGCTTCTGTAGTTCCAGCTACTTGGAAGGCTGAGGTGGAAGGATCACCTAAGCCCAGCAGGTCGAGGCTGTGGTGGCCATGAGTGTGCCACTGCACTCCAGCCTGGGCAACAAGAGTGACACTCCAACTCAAAAAAAAAAAAAGTAAAGAAACAAATTTAGCTGGGTGCAGTGGCTTATGCCTATAATTCCCACACTTTGTGAGGCAGAGGTGAGAAGATTGCCTGAGTCCAAGTGATAGAGACCAGTCTGGGCAACTTGGTGAGACCTTGTCTTTACAATGAGTCAAAATATTAGCCAGGCACAGTGGCACACGCCTGTGGCTCCAGCATCTTGGAAAGCTGAGGTGGAAGGATCGCCTGAGCCCAGCAGGCCGAGGCTATGGTTGCTGTGAGTATACGCCAGCCTGGGTGACAGAGTGAGACTCCGACTCAAAAAAAAAAATTTACAGGTTTAAATGTGCCATTTATATTGTATCAAAAATATGAAATATAATCTAATAAAAGATGTCAAGACCCCTGCATAGAAAATTATAAAACCTTATTAAGAAGAAATTACATAAATGGAGGTATATACTCTGTCCACAGAGTTAGGGACTTACTAATGGAAGACAAATATGCTATCCAAGTAGATCTACAGATCCAGATCTTCCCAACCCAGATCCTAATGGTTTTTAAGGACTGGGACAGGCTGCTTCTAAAATTCATCTAGAAATGCTCCAGGAAGAGCCAAAACACCACTGAAGGAGATGAGAAGATTGGTTCTGCTAGTTTTGAAACCTCCCTATGAAAGGACAATGAGTGGAACCATATGGTAAGCTCAAGGATACCCAGCAACTCATCAGGAAAGACAGAGTGGGAAGACTGCTGCCCACATAGACACTGAATTTAAAACCAAGGTAGGCCAGGCACGGTGGCTCATATCTATAATCCCAGCACTTTGGGAGGCTGAGGTGAGAGGATTGCCTGAGTCCATGGGTTCGAGACCAGCCTGGGCAACATGGCAAAACCTTATCTCTACAATAAATCAAGAAAAACTAGCCAGGCAAGGTGGCACATGCTGTGGTTCCAGCTACTTGGAAGGCTGAGGCGGAAGGATCACCTTGAGCCCAGCACTCCAGCCCGGGCAACAGAGTGAGACTCTGACTCAAAACAAAAAACAAAAAACAAACAAACAAAATCCAAGGTGGCACTTTGTAGTGCAGGATGGAGAGGACAGTCTTCTCAGTGAAAAATGTGAGTTGCTGGGCGCGGTGGCTCACACTGTAATCCAAAGCACTTTGGGAAGCTGAGGCGGGAGGACTGCTTGAACCCAGGAGTCGAGACCAGCTTGGGAAACATAGACCTTGTCTCTACAAAAATAAAAAAAATTATCCAGGTTTATTGGTGCACACCTATAGTCCCAACTTCTCGGGAGACTGAGACAGAACAATCGCCTGAGCCCAGGAGGTTGAGGCTGTGGGGAGCCATGATCCATGCCACTGCACTCCAGCCTAGGCAACAGAGTAAGACCCTGACTCAAAAGAAAATAATAGTAAAATAAAATAAACAAAAACAACTTGACCTCACATTATGTGCCAAACAGTTACCAAGAGTTCTAGACTTAACTGCACAAGGCAGAAGAGTGAAGCTTGTAGAATAAGGTGGATAAACTGCGATGTGAGCCACTTCAGGCTCCCTGCCTATTTGGGCACAACCGTAAGATAAGGGTGGTTTTTACATGTTTAAATGGGAAAAAATCAAAAGAACAACAATGCTTTGTGACATGGTGAAAATGACGTCTAGCCAAGTGTAGTGGCTCATGCCTGTAATTCCAACAGTTTGGGAGGCAGAGGCAAGAGGATTGCCTGAGCTTAGGGGTTCGAGACCAGCCTGGGCAACTTGGTGAGACTTCGTCTCTATCCTAAATGAAAAAGTTAGCCAGGCATGGTAACACATGCCTGTAGTCCCAGCTTCTTGGAAGGCTGAGGCGGAAGGATTGCTTGAGCCCAGGAAGTTGAGGCTGTGGTAGCCGTGATCATGTGACAACACTCTAGCCTGAGTGACAGAATAAGACTCTGACTTAAAAAAAGAAAAGAAAAGAAAAGAAAATGAAATGCCATTCAAATTTCAGTGTCCATACACAAAGTTTTATTGAGACACATCAAAGCGCCTTTGGTGACATGTGACCTATAGCTGCAGGAATGAGTGGCTGTGACAGAGACCGTAAGGTTCACAAAAACTAAAATATTTACTATCTGGCCCTTTCTAGAGAAAGATTGATGACTGCTGCTCTAGAAGACAGCAGACTATGTTCATTGCCTCTGGTTGATGAGATTTCATAAAAGGATTTGTTAAAGAACCTAACTGTGTAAAGAAAAGGACTGATCAACTAGACTGCATTTAAAAACCAAAAGTCACCTCTGAGAGGGTGAAAAGGCAAACCATGGTATAGGAGACATCTGACCTCTACCCCCAAAGACTAGTGTTCAAAGTCAAGATGGCAGGTCTTGGTAGGGGGTGATAATGAAAGAGAACGGAGCCGGGTTCGGTGGCTCAGCCTGTAATCCCGCGCCTTTGGGAGGCTGAGGTGAGAGGATTGCCTGAGCCCACG